TTCCCGCTACCTAATATCACAGAGATACTGGACCAGCTGGGGAGCGCGAAGTATTTCTCGACGCTCGACCTCGCTTCAGGTTACCATCAGATAGCGATGAGCGACCGCGATAAATGCAAGACAGCATTTTCGACACCGTATGGACATTACGAGTTCAATCGAATGCCGTTCGGGCTAAAGAACGCACCGGCGACATTTCAACGGGCAATGAACTCAATCCTCGCAGGCATTCAAGGTATCAGATGTCTTGTCTATTTGGACGATATAGTTATATATGGTCCCAGTTTGCAGGAACATAACCGCCGATTAATAGAAGTACTAAATCGACTACGCGAACATAATTTAAAATTGCAGTCTAATAAATGTGAATTTCTGCGCAAGGAAGTTACATATTTGGGACATATAATAACGGAAGACGGAATAAAACCTGATCCCGAAAAACTTCGAGCCGTAAGAGAATTCCCGGTACCCAAAAAGGTTAAAGACATACAATCATTCCTAGGGTTAGCCGGGTATTACCGCAAATTCATAGAAAATTTTTCAAAAATAGCAAAACCACTTACAAAGTTAACGCGAAAAAATGAGCATTTTTGCTGGACCGAGGAACAACAACGCGCATTCGATATCTTAAAGGAAAAACTAATTACGGCACCGGTTCTGAGTTACCCGGAGTTCTCGCAGCAGTTCACGGTCATTACCGATGCGTCGGATTACGCCATCGGAGCCGTGCTATCACAGGGAACCTTGGGGCAAGACCGGCCAATTGCATACGCTAGCAGAATTCTGAACAAGGCCGAACAAAATTATAACACGACCGAGAAAGAATTGCTGGCAATAGTATGGGCCGTAAAATATTTTCGCCCATACGTATACGGTACTAAATTTAAAATAGTAACCGATCACAAACCATTAATTTGGTTATTTAGCGTAAATGACCCGGGATCGCGACTGATAAGGTGGAGACTCAAGTTAGAAGAATATGATTACGAGATCATCCATCGCGCAGGTAAGGGGAATACAAATGCCGATGCACTCAGCCGAAATCCGATCCCGGACGACAACGCTATAATTAGTAACGTGAATTGCGAAAAGTACGAGTATAGTGAAGATGAAAAGAGACAGATACTACACGAATATCATGACGCTCCGCTGGGGGGACACCAAGGGGTGACTCGCTCATTAAACCGCATCAGGTTAACACACGAATGGCCTGGGATAACCAGAGACGTAGAGAATTACATCTCGAAATGCGAGTTCTGCCAGAAAAATAAACTGAGCAGAAGAACTAAAATGCCATTGGTCGTCACGGATACGGCGACCAAGCCATTTGAAAAATGTGCACTGGATATAGTAGGGCCGCTTACTATCACAGAGAATGGCAACAAATACCTGCTCACGTTTCAGGACGATCTCACGAAATTTAGCAAAGCCGTCCCGATCGCGAATCAGGAGGCTGCCACGGTAGCCAAAAAATTCGTCACCAACATAATATGCGAATATGGCACACCGGAAACAGTGCTGACAGACCAGGGAACAAACTTCCTGAGCGAAATTTTTAAAAACGTCTGTAAACTATTAAAGATCAAAAAGATCCAGACAACGGCCTATCATCCAGAGAGTAACGGCGCGTTGGAGAGATCACACCGAACGTTAGCAGAATATCTCCGTCATTACATCGACGAAGATCAAACAAATTGGGACGAGTGGATACCGTATGCAATGTTTACTTATAATACAACGCCACATACCGCCACTTCATTTACCCCGTTCGAACTAGTCTACGGGCACCAAGCGACGCTACCTACAGCCCTGACGCTACCACCGAAGCCTCGGTATTCGTACGACGATTACGCGCACGAGCTTAGAGAGCGATTACGGGCGACGCATCAAGTCGCAAAACAATGTTCGGAACAGGCAAAAATTAAAGCGAAAGACTATGCCGACAAAACAGTTAAACTTCGCACGTTTAACGTAGGAGACTTAGTACTATTACATGACGAGACGCTACGACGAGGACGCTCGAAAAAATTAGAAGCCCCCTGGGTGGGCCCGTATCGTGTGGTAGAAAAAATCTCCGACATCAACTATAGAATTCAAGTTAAACGCAAGATAATTCTTGTTCACGCAAATAGATTAAAATTATTTATAGAAAATTAACTAAATCGGAAAGTATAATGTAACGCGCGGAGTAATTATGGTATTAAGCTAACATTGTACTACTGTAAAAAGCGACTGAGTGTATACTTATATTAAGAAGATTATGGAACGGGAAGGATAGGTTACGCATTTCAAATAACACTATGTATCGAAAAAATTTATATAATGTCAATAATATATATACACATAATAATGAAACAGAAGAGAAAGACATAAATAATAAGAATAATAAAAATACGTCGAAGTCCGTGGTCGCGCGGTACTCTCCAAGCGAGCTACAACAACGAGAAAGGAAAAGGATCGTTAAACAAATACAAAAAACATAATGCTTGAACAAAAAAAA